TTTTTTTTTTTTTGAGACAGTGTCTCACTTTGTCACCTTAGTAGAGTACCATGGTGTTATAGCTCACAGTAACCTCAAACTGTTTGCTTCAAATGATTCTCTCGCCTCAGCCTCCCAAGTAGCTGTGACTACTGATGCCTGCCACATGCCCAGCTCTTTTTAGAGATGAGGTCTCACTCTGGCTCAGAATGGTCTCAAACCTGTGAGCTCAGACAATTCACCTACCTTAACCTCCCTGAGTGCTAGCCTTTAAATGTTTCCTCAGATATTTCCAGAGATGAATCCTTGTTAACTCTCTTTAAGCTGACCAATTACAAAAGGGTCCATGGAGAAAAAAGCATAGCCTGGTTTACTAGTTATGACATGAACTGCCCATTTTCTATTCTTAGAAGCAAGTACTTCCCAAGCACTGTCTTACCCCAGTGGTGGAGCTCACATAGGAGTCCATGAGGATACTATCGAACATGGCAGCCTCTTCATTAATCAGCTCTACATTTCTCCGTTTAAAAAGCTGAAAGTAAAGTAAAAAGACAATAGTACGATTATTCACTGCCCAAAGAAAACAAAGGACAATCCAATGTTAAATTATGACATAAATGGTAAGGAAATACTAGAGTAGCTGACAAAATGAGGTCAACCTTTATACAGTAGTCCCCCCTTATCCACAGTTTCACTTACCATACTCTCAGTTATCCATGGTCAACTATAATCCAAAAATATTAAATGGAGAATTCTAGAAAAAATCAATTCCTTATGTTTTAAATTGCCATTCTGAATAGTATGGTGAAATCTCACACTATCCCACTCTGTTCCTCCTGGGATATGAATCATCCCTTTGTCCAGTGTATCCATGCTATATATGCTTACTGCCTGTTAGTCACTTAGCAGCTGACTCAGTTGTCAAACTGTAGTGCTTGTGTTTAAGTAACCCTTATTTTATTTAAAAAGGCCCCAAAGTGCAAAAGTAGTGATACCAACAATTCAGATATGCCACAGAGAATCTGTAAAGTGCTTCTTTTAAGTGAAAACACGAAAGTATAGGAAAAAACATAGTATACGTAAGGTTCAGTACTATCCATTTTAAGGCATCCACTGGGGGTCTCGGAACATATCCCATGCAAGTAGGAAGGGACTACTGAATACTCACAGAGAAAAATATTCAGGGGCTTTACCTTTCATGTTATATCAGAATTGTTTGCATTTTTTAAGAGATCATTTTTATAAGGAAAAAAATATTTAAAGATTTCTATGCCCTTTGTAAAAAAGGTGATGTATACAAAAGGGCTTGAAAGAGAAGAATAATGGTATAGCAAGTAAGTGAGAAAAAAATAGGTTAGGTGACTGAATAGGTAGACCTGATCAAGGCACCAATATGGTGGTGGTATGGGATAGGAGTGCAGATGGTGAGATATTAACATAGCCTCAGTCCTAGGGACACTTACAAAGAGCAAACTCAAGAAAATAGGAAGCAGGGCAGCCCAGAATGGCTAATGAGCCTCTTTAAGGTGTCTGGCTCGGAGCTAGGTATTGAAGGCCAGGCCTAATACTGACTGCAGCATGAAGAAGAAAAAAAGCACACATAAACAATGTCTAAATTGGTCTAACATGTGGAAAGGAGATTCACTTGAAGCTCCCAACATTTTATTATAACAATGGAAATTTGATGACTGGTCTACTAAGCAAGCTACTTTGCTAAGTGTGCAAGGTGAAGGCCATTCATAGGGGCTGGATTGCTTTCCTGAACAATATGTTTGAGAATACTCTGGTTAACCCACTTGTTGCTCTCGCTTCTGCTTCCGGAGCTGAATGCCCTCTTCCTCTCTTCTTCGCCTCATCTCCTCAGGGTTTAGGGCATTGTTCTTATAGCTCTTCATTCGATAATTGTCTTTCCCTGGGCTCGCCATGGTCTCTAGAAGAAAGGAAAATACAAACACATTGCTAACAACCCTTAAGAGCACAGCATTTCCTTTTCAGCAGACTTCTGTCTCTACCCACCCTGCACCTTCCCCTATTCCATGGAGACCACAGCTGTCAAGGAGGCGTACTACTCTCGGTACACACCTGACATGTCTAACACCACCCCTACCCACACACACATGTACCTAGAGTCTCCTGTAATCATAAATGACCTCTTTAAATAGGTGGTATTATAGCAACTGGTATAAGCATGGTAGTTAAAGGTGTGGGGCCTGGAGCTAAATTATTTGGGTTCAAATCCTGGCTCTACTATGTATTAGCTGTGCAACCTTGAACAAGTGCTTTAACCTCTATGCTTCAGAATTTCATCTTTAAAACAAGGACATAACTAGGTGGTGCCTGTGGCTCAGTGAGTAGGATGCATATACCAAGGGTAGTGGGTTCTAACCCGACCCTGGCCAAATTGCAACAACAATAAATAGCCAGGGGTGGTGCATGTGGCTCAAAGGAGTAGGGCGCTGGCCCCATATGCCAGAGGTAATGGGTTCAAACCCAGCCCCAGCCAAAAACTGTAAAAAAA